CAGTCGAGAATCTACGAATTGGAGTGGTGGGAAAGTGATATTTTGCTAAAAGTGATACTTTTTTTTGATATTTTTTCGCTTTTTTGATGATTTTTTGCCTCCTTGTACATGCGTACGCTTTCATGCAGATTACCTGATGAAACTTGTATTGGTTTATAATGTTACTGCAATCCATACATTTAAATCGGCTGCTAACATCTAAAACTTTGCATAATGCTTCTTTTGCGAGGATCACTAAAATTGTCCTTTAAAAAGGATGAGACTTATGCTAGGACCACCAAAAGGCTGACCACTAGCCGCTACAGCATTTGTGAATGTTGCTGAGAAAGAAGTAAAATTTCTCTGCGACTGAATCTCTGTTTGAGAGCGAAGACAGTTGGGGGTTGTAGGAGATTACAAACGAGCTGATGGTGACTCCCGGTACCAATTTGCCAGTAAAACGTGAGAAAGATCGTAGAGAGATTGGTTGTCCCACTGGCTTTGAGTGAATCTTCGACCTTTAGGAGAGAAGCTTACCCCATTTATAAGTAGCTGCGTGACTTTAAATTCCAAAGTGAATCATTGTATCTGTGGAATAATGGGCTTTTTCAGCATATTTATTTTGTAAATCACTGCCCATCAGGTCCCTTATTTTTTGTAGACTTTGCAGTTCCCAAATTTTTGAAAACTTTCTGAGGGTTTTACTTTGAAAAACTGATCTATTTTTGTTTCCAGGATGGCCCCAGAAGTAATTGCATGTGACGAGAATCCGGACGCTACTTATGATTCACGGAGTGATCTGTGGTCGTTAGGAATAACGGCGTTGGAAATGGCCGAGGGCCATCCGCCACTGGTCGATATGCATCCCATGAGAGCACTGTTCCTCATTCCTCGCAATGCACCACCGAGACTGAAACGAGGCAAAAAATGGTATGCGTCTGCTTCTCCCAACTTTCATTTGTTGCTAAATTGAACAATGGGAGCATCCTTGATGAACTTTTCCCGTTTCTTGTGATTGGATGGGTTAAGGATGGGGGCAGGAGTACAGTAGAGAAATGAGCTGCAGTTGATTTGAAACGTCCTGTTTTTGACATGATCTGCTGCAATCTTGGTCCAATTTTAGTAGCATTCCCTCGAACTGAATAAAACGGGCGAGAAATAATCAGGCAGAACAACTTGAAAACGAACTGAGCTGCAGATTCGTGAAGTTTTACAGTTTCGATGTTCGTAATTCATCGCTTGAAACCTCCTGTTCCCTGACCTGACCTGTGAGCAAGGGCTAGCCCTATGACATCGGGTTCATCGGGTGAAAATCACCGAATCGAGCAGCAACTGGTGCAAAAGAAAAGCAGTGAGGGGATATCAATGGTAGAAGCATTCAAAAGGACATTTTTTTTTCATATTTTTGAACTTTGAAGCGCAACATTTTTTATGCCTCGAACGTTGCCGTTCTGTTTTCCTTGTCCTACATTTTTCACCCCAGTTTTCTCCGTCTTCGTCAAATGGAAAATGAAATTACTGGTTTATTAGAATTGGCCGTGGCAGGCATTTATCTTTGGTTTTTATGCGTTTTTGCATTTATGTAAATTGCAAAAACGCATATTGGGAAGAGGCTGT